TCCCTACAGAAATAGATGAAGTAGGGCTGCCTTTATAAAATATATTAACATTGTGATGTACATAGCAAATAACAAGCTGTGTAGGATAATGTATTATATTTAAGAATATCTATAGAAACTATAACTGTTAATTGTATATTAGTTAGATGAAGCCAAAGTTTTAAAAAATACTCTATCCAAATATTACAAAAACCGTGACTCTTGGATGCTTAATTCAGAGATCTTAGTCTAAGTCATCTGCAGGAGAATCTCTTGGTTTATTTACTTGTTGTTCTCGCAGTTCTGTCTGTAAAGTAGTATGTTACAAATTGTTTAATCCTTGTAGCCCCCCATGTTGAATTGCCCAGCAGGAGTCTTTTTCTTGCTGTAGGCTGAGTGGCAGCATTTTCACAAGGAGATCTGAGCATATTACCATGGTTGTGTAGACTCCGTGCAGCAGTAGACTGCGCGGAGAGGAGAGAAGAGCGTGGCTTTCAGCTTAACGGCAAAAGTGATGTAACTTTTTCCAGATTGTATTCAGAACATGCTGTAAATATTGCAATTTTAATCTGTTAAATAGACCACCGACATCGATGACGGGAGCCATGGGCTCTGAACTGGGAAGAATAACCTTTGTGTTTGAGACTCTCTGTTCAGCCGACTGTATTCTGTACTTCATGGTGGTAAGTGGCAGAGGGGCTCTCAGAGGCGGATTTCTACGCTTAGCGTTCTCTTTCAAGTGTGACCCTATTTATACAAATTGCGATAAGAATCCCATTTTTCTTCCCATTTTTAGGGTCTTCCAAAAACATTAAAAAGACATCTAAGGGGGCTTCCCTGGTGGCTCAGTGGTTAAGAGTCCGCCTGCCAATGCAGGGGATATGGGTTCGTGCCCCGGTCCGGGAGGATCCCACATGCCGCGGAGCGGCTGGGCCCGTGAGCCATGGCCGCTGGGCCTGCGCGTCCGGAGCCTGTGCTCTGCAACGGGAGAGGCCACAGCAGTGAGAGGCCTGCGTACAGTAAAAGCAAAACACTCAACTACATAATCATTCTTTTTTTTTGGCTGCACTGCACGGCTTGTGGGATCTTAGTTCCCCGATCAGGGGCTGAACCTGGGACCTAGTGAAAGCACAGAGTCCTAACCACTTAATTCCCTACATAATCATTCTTAAAAAAAAAAAAAAAAAGACATCTAAGGAACTCATTAAACATTGTGTGGTGAAGTCCACAAAGGAAGTGTTCATTCCTTGTGGAGAGAACTGAGTGATGGGGCCTGGGTGACAGGCAGAAGCCAGGAAATGTTAATCCCATAGGAAAGTCCTTCAAAAAAATATGCCGCCAGCAGAGTGAAAATTCTCCCCTAGTAACCATTCAGCAACTCAAACCATCAGGAGGGAAAAGCATGTATTAATAAGTGAGGGCACAAAACAGTGGAGGTGGGGAGCTTTGGGAAAAATAACACCCTTCCTTGTTAAGTAAATAAATGTAGACAAAGGATTTTGCTATGTACATGTCATAATTTTGCCCATTTTTTCCTAGGTGTCCTATAAATCTCAACTAATAGCTTGAGAAAAAGTGGTAACACAAAATTTACTTAAGACCCCAGGGAGGTTTTAGAAGGTTGTTGGCTAAGACTTTAATGTTATAATTAAGTAGTGACTTCATAGACATGAGTTGTTTTTGCTTTTTTCCAGCAATCCTTTAGTAGCTAGTTAACAGTCCATTAACAGTTTCCTCCATGATATACAAGATATATGGAGATTTAAATATTTGTTCATGATTACTAATAGCTTAAATGAAGGCAGACTATTTCGTTCTTGAAAAAAAAGGACTTTGTGGTAGTCAAAGAAGATGAATAATCTTCAACACGTCTATCTATGACACCACAAATAACCGAGAAGTCTTCAGTTCTCTTAGCTGTCCCTCCTTTTTTCTTCAGTGTATTAGTTCCTCTTCATACTGAGTGCCATTACTGACAATTCAGACTCCCATTATCTCTCAGCAATAGTCTCTGTCTATTCCTCTCATCCCCATCCTCTCATAAAGGCTGTTGTCAGACTTATCTTTATAAACATAAAAACAATAGTAGAGGCAGCCACAACAAATCTACCCCCTCACACTTAGTGGATTTTTATTGCCTGTGGCAGCGGTTCTCAAAATGTGGCTCCTGGACCAGCATCATCTGGGAACTTGTTAGAAATGCACATTTCTGAGGCCCTTCCTAGTCTTTTTTTTTTTTTTTTTTTTTTGTGACCCAGGGACCTTCCCGGACCGGGGCACGAACCCGCGTCCCCTGCATCGGCAGGCGGACTCTCAACCACTGCGCCACCAGGGAAGCACCCGCTTCCTAGTCTTAATGAGACACTCTGGTGATAGGGCCCAGCATTCTGTATTTTAGCAAGCCTTGAGCTTGGTTCTGAAGTGCAGTAAAGTTTGAGAACCAATAGCCTATGAATACACTTAAAATCCCTTAGCATGGCATCTGTATGGCTTTTGTCCTCTTTGGTCAGCCTCTGATACCAAACTGCTGTTACTACTCACCCCTCTTTCGACACTCTGAATTTGTTAGCGGAACACGCTGTACTTTTTCACTTCTCAGGCCTTGGCACACTCTAAGCTAGAATGACTTTCTTCATTTTGCTGTTTTGTCTGGTGAACTCCCGTTCATACTTCAAGGGCAGCTCAAACCTCACCTTTTCTGGGAAGCTTTCTCTTATTCCTTTAAGTAAAGTTAACCACTCTCTCCAGTGTGCTCCTAAAACCCTTTGAGAAAACCCTACTTTAATTGTGTGAGTGTATTCATATATTTGTCTCTCTCTGTTGATCTAGCATTCCTGAGGGTAGGGATCGTAGATATTTATTTTGGTAAATCGGTCTTAAGAGGTTTTTGCTCATAGCTGGATCCGTTAGTTTTCTTTACTCTGTGATTTGATTTCTGCACAGCAATTTTTGAGATATCAGCACCTAAATAACACATCAAAATGCTTTCAAAATCATGTAGTGTTTTACAGAGGTAAGGTGGTATTATTTGCAGTAATGCAGTATGTCCTATTTATTATGGGAATAAACATCCAGAAAGTGTTCAGCAAAGTCTATATATTATGAGCTCCTTTTAGGAAGTGGCATGTGTGATTATTTGGTTGTTTGGTAATGTGGGGAATTCTGTGACGTATGACAGGCATACTCTGTTGTTCCTACTTGTGGTGTGAACTGAAGACGCATGTCTTTATAGCATATCTGATTACTTTATAACATGCTTGTCATCAGCGTTTATATCATAGAAAGAAAGAGACATGCCTTGAGCCATGCCACTGTATTATCAACATCTCGGATAACTAACAAAAACCTATCCAGATTCCTAAGTCATCTATTAGGGTTTCTGCAGGGAAGACTAATTAGAAAATTCAGAGTTAGTCTTGGTTTTTCATTTCAAATAAATTAGATGTGTATTACATTATTTGCTTTACTTACTGCATTTGCTTTCTGACCATGTTAATGACATAATGTTGGTAGAATGTCACACATTTATATAATATTCTAAATATTGAATTTAGCTAAGGAAATCAGAAATAAGATGTTACACAAATTAATCTTTTTGGAATTCAAGTATAAGCAGAAGAAGATTACATGAACATAAAATAACATTCTAGTTAATCTGCACTGGAAATTGCAAGTGTAATCCAGGGAGAATTTAGAATTCCTGTGTAAAAGCCGCCTATCAGAATCCCTCAAGGGAAAAGATAAAAGATGGAAAGAAAGCCTTGTCATTTTATGAGGATCCTAGAAGTTTACTGTCAGAAGTTGGAGGAATTATGTTTCCCTTTCTGCATATGTTCCTAAGCTGGAGTCATACACATACACACACACACCACCCCTCCCTCCAACAGAAAAATTCCTTAAACATAACTATGATTTGAGACCTCTTTCACGTTATATTGATGACATGGTTGATACATTATAATTACTCAGCTAGTAAGTGCTTGTGTAGACTTGAAGGGAAGTTTCTGAGGGTTTTAGGGTTACATGCTCTGCAGATAAATATTCATGAACGCTGTAGGGTTTACTGTAAATACAAACATATGATTGTAATGTATATACATGTATATTAACACTGAGTTGGTGGTTTTTTGTATGTATTTTTTTCTACTATATTTTAGGATATTAATAGAAAAAGTACCAACGTGGTCGAATCATGGGGTGGAACCAAAGAAAAACAAGCTTACACCCATGTCATCTTCAAGAATGCCACATTTACATTTACGTGGGCATTTCAGAGGACCAATCAGGGTCAAGATGTAAGTTCCAAGCACTTAAAAAAAAAAAAAAAGCCCCAAAGATGATTCTCCCTGTGGAGATTTGTACAAAGTGGTCCCTCAAATCTCCTGGAGGAAAAGGCTTAGCTTTTTCATGATGTAGAATCAATCAGTCATTTGGTTACGGAGTAGATTGGTATAAAAATGGTCTTTTTTTTGGGTTTGTGTTTTGACAGCAAGAATGTATGAAATGGAATAACAGTGTATCTTCGAATTGTTCTATACTTTGAACAAATATAGTTGGTAAAAGCTTAAAAGAAAGAAAATCTTATTTGATAGTTATTTAAAAACTTACTTTTGAAGCTTTCTGAGACTTTGGGAAGGTGGTGACTTTCTTCCCCTTCGTCTGAAAGATCTGACATTTGTCCAGGAGGCATTATCTGATGTTGGTTTAGTACTTCATACAGTAATGACTGTCTCCTTTTATAGCTTGGCGAGTGTGTATGTACACACTGTTGGGTTAACACACAGAACTATTCTATTTTACTTTCCGTGGTAGAATAGACCTTAATCCTCCCCTAAGTATTTTCCATTATATGCTTCAATTACATGTTATTGTGGATCTCCATTGCTGTGACATTCCCAGGGTAAGAACAAGGTAAATCACGGTTTAAGACACTGCCTTAACATTGTGGTGGCAAATGTAGAGCATTTTCTCCTTTCTCTTCAGGTTTTCACTGGGGAACCCATTCCCCAGGTTTCACTTGACTCCAGTTGCTCTTTTATGAGTGCTCAGATTCCCACCTTGTGGGGTGTGAACATGCTGTGCAAGGCTTCCTTGCCTCCCTTTAGTCTTTGCCCCAGACAGAAAGCATTAAGAAGCGGCACTCTACTGACGCAGTGGTGCTCACTGCTTGATGAAAACTAGACCTCAATTGACTCAGTGTCACAAGAAAGAAAATTATAGTAAGACCCAGGTTTTTACTCTCTGTTATGCATCCAGTAGAAATCAGAGTATGTTGGTTAAGGAAAGTGCTAGAGAGGGAGGAAAAAAGCCTAAAGAAGTGATGTGATTTGCACCACTATCACACAGTTAGTGTTTGGGTGAGGACTTTTTTAATCCCTGGTCCAAGTCTTTTCCACATTGCCACAGTGCAAACAACCTATTGTATCATGACGTTTAGGCTTATGTCTGAATAAACAGTGATGGGAGCTAAGGTTGCTCTTTTGTTAAATCATATTGGTTTTTCCAGGCATCAAGTCTATGCATATGCCTGAATTTGTACCCATTATGACATAATTTCATAATTTCATGGCCAAATTCCTAGAACTCCATTACTGTGGAAATGAGTTTCTAGTGTTAAGATTTAATATATTTTTAAAAAGTACCAAAAAGGAATACTATTAACCCACTGGCTGGGACACTTTGCTTAGTTATTTTGGTGATACGAACATAAAACAATCTGGTTGTACAACTAAGCGCCAAGGCAGAAGTCATTACTTTCTGCTCTCTTTTTAGAATAGACGGTTCATCAATGACATGGTGAAGATTTATTCTATCACTGCCGCTAATGCAGTTGATGGGGTGGCGTCCTCGTGCCGTGCCTGTGCCCTCGGTTCTGAACAGTTGGGCTCATCGTGTGTCCCCTGCCCCCCAGGCCACTACATTGAGAAAGAAACCAACCAGTGCAAGGAGTGTCCACCTGACACCTACCTGTCCATACATCAGGTCTATGGCAAGGAGGCTTGTATTCTATGTGGGCCTGGGAGTAGAAGCACTCAGGTAAGTGGGTCTGTATTTCACTTATCCCCAGGAAAGCATATTTTAATAGACAAACCCAAAGGTTCCTCTTAATGTTTCTCCAGGAACTATGAAGTTGCTATTTTTAGTTATGAATGGCTTTTTCATTCCCTTTCTTATTTTACCTCATCTTACATCTGTTGAGCACTTAATATGTGCCATGAAAGTGCTAATTACTGGGGGCATAAAATATTAAGCAGAGGATCCAAATAAGAATGCTTTCCACAAATATTAAAACTGATTTCTTGAGTATTCCATTAAGGCAGAGCAAGTAAGGTGCCTCACTATATGTAGGCTGTAGGCGTATATGGAGAACAGCAAGAATATCTCATAACATTTTAAGGGTAAAGATTGATGCTGTATTATGAGTGAAGGAAAAAATAGTTTAATGTCTGTTGAAACTGGCATAACAGGACATTTTGGCTATTTATTAAAACACCTTTCTATAAGAAACTAATCTTAGAATAACTTTACTCTGTTAAAAAATTCTAACACTTCTGAACTTTGCGTAGAGAAATCTAGAGTTTGGAAATTTTCTATATTCGTGTGGTAAAATATACCATAGCTAAGACAAAATTACTGAAATAGTTTTTAAACCTAGATCTTTCTGGAAACACATTTTTTTCCATAGCAGCTAATGCTTTCTTTCCTGCCGTATTGTTTTCGCTTTTTTGTTTTTTAACATTTCTTAATCTTTAATCAAAGGACCACTCAGTTTGCTACAGTGACTGCTTTTTCTACTATGAAAAAGAAAATCAGAGTTTGCACTATGACTTCAGCAACCTCAGCAGTGTGGGCTCCTTAATGAATGGTCCCAGCTTTACCTCCAAAGGAACAAAATACTTCCATTTCTTCAATATCAGTTTATGTGGGCATGAGGTGAGTTCTGGCTGGCAGGGTGAGACGGAGCTATGTTTCAGCTCTGACTGAGTTATTTTCTGTGTTGATGGACCAATAAAATCTCTATGGAAGCTAACAACCAAATGTCAGAAACTGAGCTGTGACAGCTTAAATCCTCTGTTGCTTCCTAGCACGTTGGCAGTTTTCTCCACCAGGGGCAACCTTGTCTGGTTCTCACTCCATCAAAGCACTTCTCCAGTCCGTTGAACCCCCAAAGCTTGGAGCTACGGAGCAAGGGCTTTGAGGATCTTTCATTTTTGTAAAAGTGGGTCAGGCTTGTCAATCCCACCTATTTTTTAGGCAGGAAGTTAAGGTTTGAGAAAGTTTGACTGTTGCTTATATGGTCAAGTTTGTGTTTTAAAAAGAAAGGACTTTCCAGAGGAAGTTTGTCCAAAAATAAAAAGAACGCAAGCAGGGCACAAGCGCCAGTTGATGAGGTAGCCTCTGCTGATAAATAATGGGATTTAATTTTCTTTGGGAAGAAGCAGAACGTGAATGGATACTGGTAATGGGAGAGTTACAGGACTGCGTGTCCAATATTTTTTGTGGGCATAGAAGGTCGGGGTTGAGGTGTGTGTGTGTGTATTCCCCGTTAGCAAAGGTGAAAATATACTAAGGCCTTTCCTCCGTGTCTCTTTCCGTTTTAACTCCTATGTCTCTAATGGTCTCCGTTATGAAATGCTGTGCCAAAGGTTGTGCAAGGGAAATAAAAAGACGTCCCGTTGCTACAGAAGTTCTCAAACGAAAAGGTCTATACATTTTACATGGTATGACATTTGTCCTGTCCTGATTTTACGTGGGGTGATCCAGCACACTCACCCGATTGATCAGTCACTCGGTTCACTCAATTAAAAAAAAAAAAAATTAAATGCCTGTTGGGTTAAATGCCGTGTAAAGCAGTGAATAAGATTAATTCCACTGTATATCACACTTCTCAGTCTCATTCCTGTGTTAGCACTGTCTTTGCTTTCCTCTTCTCTCTTCTGTTTTCCTTCTCCTGTTTTCCTCTTTATTCGCATTCCTTTCCTCTTCCTGTTGTTTTCCTCTTCTTTTCCTCAGTAGAGTCTCTCTGCTCTTTTTCCTGTTCTTCTCTTATGACGTCAAGAGTGTAATTTAAGCTTAGTAACAATATGTTGCACTTGTAATGTGGTGAGCAGGCTTGGTGGAGGGAGAACATTTTATAGGTTAGGACTGCTCGCTGCATTAAGGAAGAGAAATCTTTGTTCTTTTCTTCGTGCCCATCTGTGCACACTCTACATCTGAGACCAATAAAACAGTGTTTCTGTTTTTCGTTATATATTTCTTCATAGAAATTGTAGAGTAAGGTATAGTCCTTTGCAGTGGGACTGTAGTAAATTTAGACATACCTCATTAAAAAAAATAAGAGTCAAACCATTTTATAAGTTATATCTTCTCACGACCCTCCAAATGATTAAAAAAGTAAGCTCCTGGGCTTCCCTGGTGGCGCAGTGGTTGAGAATACGCCTGCCGATGCAGGGGACATGGGTTCACGCCCCGGTCCGGGAAGATTCCACATGCCGCGGAGCGGCTGGGCCCGTGAGCCATGGCCGCTGAGCCTGCGCGTCCGGAGCCTGTGCTCCGCAACGGGAGAGGCCACAGCAGTGAGAGGCCCGTGTACCGCAAAAAAAAAAAAAAAAAGTAAGCTCCTGTATACCCTTCAACATACTGTGTGCTTGAGCGGATCCACATCATTGAGTCTAAGAGTAGGTGAATAAAGACACTTGTAGTGACCAACTGTTAAGGTGTTGTCCTAGGCTTTTACGTTTTCTTTTTCAGCCTTGACATTACTTTTCTGCCACACACAGGCCTATACAGGAGAAGGAAGAGCAAGTCCTTTTTCTTGGCATTAAAACCTTCACCAGCAATTTTCTGGTTCCTTTATGTGCATTGTTGTCCTAAGAATTGAAGATTTCACAGATGACTTATATTTCCTTAAGTCAGATGGCTTTCATCCGGCACAAATGATGCTTGTAGTTGGGGCAGCAGTGCAGCCTTGAATTACTGTATTCATTATAACTTCAGTGACTCTCAAGCCTGGTTGAACACTGGAATTGTCTCAAGAGCTTTTAAAAAGTACTGGTGCCTGGGCCCACACCCGATCAGTTAAACCAGAATTGTGGTGAGGAGAGAGCCAGTGCTCTGCTACAATCACTAGCTAGCTGAGATCCAGTTTAGAGACTGACCTTCAGTGAAACCTCTTTATGACTTTATTTTCCTAGGGGAAGAAGTTGGCTCTCTGCACCAACAATATAACAGACTTCACAGTAAAGGAAATGGTGGCAGGGTCAGATGATTACACGAATTTGGTAGGAGCATTTGTATGTCAGTCAACTATTATTCCTTCTGAAAGTAAGGGCTTCCGAGCAGCCTTATCATCACAATCCATCATTCTGGCAGATGTATTTTTAGGTAAGTTTAATTTGGTTCATATATGCATGCATGCATTTGTTCTAAAATTATGGTACTGATAACTTGTCATTGCACTGGTGCTTACCATCGATGATTAAAACCTACAGGTAATTCTAAACCATCACTTTATAACATGGTTAAAAAGCCCCTGCAAGTGAGATCTTTTGATCGTTCTCAGGGAATACAAGAAGCTTCTGAATTTATGTATTAACTTGTGTGCTATGTTGTTTTCTGAGAGTCTGTGCCTTTCATCAGATTCTCTAAGCAAAATAATAATAAACTCCCAAAACTGTGGACAAAAGAATAGTAAACAAACACAGTATAAACCTGAATCATAATATCTGCCACCAGTTTTCATCATCTCTTCTCATACCAGAAGTAATCTGGTGACAAACAGCAAGAGTGAATGTGCTGAGTTTTATTCCCCATCTGTCCCTCCTGTCTTTCCGGTCTAGAAAGTTTAGGGAAGCTTTAAGAATAACTCAGGTCCCTGATTAGTAATTCCTAAGGATCAAGTTCATTAAAATATCTGGGGTAGGGATTAGGGATCTAACAAGGCGTATGATAATCTAACAATGTAACAAGCTTCTTAGATGATTCTAAACTGCAGCCAGATTTGAGAACCATCGTGAGAGACTCCAGGGCAATTTAGCTATAATTTTCAGCACCAAGGACAGGTACTGAGTTTGTGCTCAGCATCAGAACCCTGTCAGAACAAAGGTTGCTGTAATTGCTTGCATTTTGACTCTGCTATCATTTTGCCTGGGGTGGATGGGTGGGGAATGCCTTACTCCTAGATTAAACAAATTTTGGAGTTTTTTCCTGAAAATTATTAGGGCACAAAATATTTTGTTGTGTCACTTGTGTCTATAATGAATGTGAATGAATGAAAAGCTGCATTAGCAAAGTAGCCCAGCTCATTTGACACAACTCACAAGAGGCTGAGCATGATAATAGTAGATTGTTGAAATGTTAGAACTAGAAGGGACGGTGGAGATCATCTAAATTATTGCATGCATTTTACAAATTCAAGACATAAGAATCAGGGAAGTAAAGTGGCTTAAGCAAAATTGCAAAACTAGGGAGTAGAATCTTCTTTTTTCTATTCTGGAAACTTTGTAAAGTTTATTGTTCTTACCAAGAATGCATTAATTTAAGAGGATATTTCTGGTAAAATGACAGCATCAAAGTAAAGCTATTTTCTATTTAGATATACAGAGACTAAATAAGCCTAATTTTCCCATATTGCTTAATAGTTTCTTTTTTATTCTTGTCTAGGAGTGACTGTTGAAACCACATTGCAAAATATTAATATAAAAGAAGATATGTTCCCAGTTTCACCAAGCCAAATACCAGATGTGCATTTCTTTTATAAGTGAGTGAACATGCTGCTTCTCTTGACTGTTTTCTTAATCATAAGGACATCACTTCAGGGTGCCTAGCATGGTAGCTTATACCTAGTAGATAGTCAGTAATTGGTTCGTAAGTGAAAGACTTAGTAAAAAATAGGAAACGGGGAATATGTAGAAAGCATTATGTCATTTTTCTCATATATATCATCTTCTAAATTAGGCAATAAAGAGAATCTACTTCATTGTCTAGGCAGTAATTGTAATTCACACATCAGAACATCAGCCTGAGTCGCTATGACCTCTAATCTCTTAAAAAATTCTTTTGCTTCTAATTTTGATTATAATTACAATAGCTTTAAATCCTCTGATGATAGCGTATGACTTTACCTGGGGAGCAGTCAGCTTTTCATAGGCAGGGAAAGTAAATGAACTCAATATGTATTAAAATTCTAAATTAGCGGACTTTGATACATCTTTTCATGTATTCATAGAGCATAGGAGCAATTACACACAGGATATTTTTGTCTTTGAAATGTGTGTCATATATGTTTTGTGAAATAGCATTTCTCTTCCAATAGGTCTTCTACAACTACAACCTCTTGTGTTAAAGGCCGATCAACTGCTGTGAAAATGAGGTGTAATCCCGCTAAACCGGGAGCTGGAACCATTTCAGTACCCAGGTAGTCTTATTTCTATATGATTCTTCCATATTTGTATTTCTTAGGAAGAAAAACTCTCCAGGATCTTACTATTTTAAAACACGTTCTCTATGGATATAAAGCAGAAAGGGAACAAAGAATCTGTAGATTTTTGTTGTGCAGACATGCTGGGTGCCTGTAAAGAGAGGTATAGGCCCTTGCCAATCTCAGCACTTCCCGGTCTCCTCAATGACATATTCTCGTCTGGTTTGCCTGAGTGTCTTAATTGTCTTGAAAATTATTTAAGTAATATATAAATATATTGTTTGTATCCTTGGATTGAGTCTTAACTATCTAGCCTCTACTTTCTTGAGAGCTGGATTAGGAACTTCCCTGGATTACAGTTCTTCACCAGCAAGGGACCGTCTGGGTGATCTAGAATCTAGATTTTAGATTAAGCAGGCTAGCCTGTGCGCCATAGTTTCTTTCTCTATAAGGGGATGAGGGTCAGGTTAGATGCATTTCCAACTCTTCAATTTTCTGATCACTGGTGGCGAAATCACCAAGGTAGAGTCTGACCTATACAATACATAACACAGTTCATTTAACTGATTGGCATCGAGGCAACAGCTGTCCACAGTCTAGATCTGATTAATACAGCCACTTTGGGTGGGAACAGTAGGAGAAAAGAAGCAGTTTCATGGACTCAAAACTGTAAACTTAAAGACTGTTTTCATGGCCTGAGTGAAGCTTAAATGTCTCCTGATTTTTATTTTTTATAGTTATTCATTGTTTAGTATGTAGATTATTTCTAATCTTTTTAGGGTTAAGGTACCTTTGGATTATAATTTGATTTGCACGTTTTTCTCCATCAAGCTAGCAAAAATTTATCTTTAAAAAAATGATTGACTTAATTTTGTTTTTGATAGTTTCACCGTAACCTTTTGTGAGATTTTAAGCTATCCTTCATATGTTACATCAGGATTGGAAATCAGTGGTCTAAGCGTTGCTCCAGTTACTTGGGCATCTTAAAAATAATTACAGTGATAACATTGTATTTTGGGCTCATTTCTGTGCATAAAGGCATACTAACATTCACCTCTTACCAACGCTGTTAGTCTGGTTCTCGCAGATGTATGTATTAATTTTTCTCCTCACCTTTTCAAGGTGACAGGAGAACGTGATGGGCGCAATACATAATAAAAGGTAATGGACATCAGTGAAAGAAACAGAGGGAGCCTGGTGCTCAAGGGCATCGTGTGGTGGAGGATCCCTGTGCCAGTGTTCACGCTGGAGTTGAGGCAGCAAGCACACTTTCTTTATGAGGACATGTATCCAGAGATTCTTTCACTATCCTCTGATATCCCACCATATAACTTCGAGTTCAGAGGTTTGTTTTATTTACTGTAGCACTTCTGAGGTCCTTTCTCGGACCTAGCAACTCACTTCTCTGGAGTCCACCTGGATGACTTCTGAAGCCTGCTCCAGGAGCCTCTATGACTTAAGGAGATAATGTTACTGAAGACTAACTCTGTCCTTTAGAAAATGTATCACTCTAACTCTCCCAAGGTGGATTCTGATGTTTTAACATAATAAGAAAGTAATAGTCTCATTATGTTAAATGATGGCATCTAGAAATTAATTTTTTTCCTTGTGAGGAGAGGAAAAGTTAAGTTCCTCCTTTGACCTCAGGCAGTTTTTCCTACTTGACTGTCTTTGCAAGGGTTTCCCAAGATCCTATGCAGCAGAATACCTTGGGGTGTCTATCTATTTTTTTTTAATTTTAAAATTTATTCTTATTTATTTATTTAAAGCAAGCAATCGTTTTAATACTTTAGCTCACATATTTTTTTATTCAAACAGAAAGTCACAAAAGTTATAATCATCCTCATCAGTTCGCTCAGTCCCGTGTAATTAATTTCTTTTTCATCTTGATCCTTTGTTAGCACGTTTATGAATTCATCAGTTTTCCATTGGAGTTCTGAAAACGCTTATTCATTCAGTTCAGCAGTGTAGTCAGTTACCAGAAACCTGTACTTGTCAGAGTCTTTTCCGTGAATTCCTTGAAGATGAAACCCTTTTATGGGAACACTTTTGCAAAAGCATCAGAGTGGGGTGTCTATTTTAAAACTGATTTCTAGGCCTTCCCTGAAACCTAAAGAATTTCCGAGTGTTTGGAACAGGAAATATTTATAAAAACACAAGACAATTCTGATCCATATTCAAATTTGAGAACCATTGGTCTTAACCCCCATTTTGGAGATTTGACGTTTTTGTTTTCTGACATAGATTCTCACATGTTGTTTTGCATTTTAGTTTTCTGAAAAGCTAAATTAAAAGGTCGTGGTCTACAGGGTGGATGCCTTCACCCATATTTTGATGAAGCTCTGTTTATAATTATGACGCACACTGAAGTCTGAGGACCATGGCTCTAGGGAATGCTTTCAACCCCACAGCCTAAATGTGCTGGCCTTTCGTTCTTTCTTTTCTTTTTTTTTCAAACATCTTTATTGGAGTATAATTGCTTTACAATGGTGTGTTAGTTTCTGCTTTATAACAGAGTGAATCAGTTATACATATACATATATTCCCCATATCTCTTCCCTCTTGTGTCTCCCTCCCTCCCACCCTCCCTATCCCACCCCTCTAGGTGGTCACAAAGCACCGAGCTGATCTCCCTGTGCTATGCGGCTGCTTCCCACTAGCTAGCTATTTTACGTTTGGTAGTGTATATATGTCCATGCCACTCTCACTTTTTTCATTCTTTCTTGAATTGATTTCTGTCGGGGCACAAGGGGGAGCTCTGGGACCAGGATCAGAACATGAGAAACAGCAGCTTGTCCGGAAATAATTAGAATTTTTTTTTTTTTTTCTTTAAGCTGTAGGGCTGAATAAAGATTTCCTACTAACAGAAATGTTAACAGAGCCAAATTTACTTAGGTTACTTTTGAAGAGGACTTACTTTGCATTTTTCTTATTTGAGCTTTAAGTTCTCCAGGAGAGAAAGAAAGGTGCTAAGCAGGCAGTTGCCTTGCAGAAGTCTCATATGCTGACCAGGAAGTCACTATAGGGAGTCCTTGGCAGTTGGGAAGGGAGGCCATCCCCTGGAATTCTCTCTTGGCCAAGAATCTTGGCAAACCAGGCAAAGGCGACTTTGGCAGTAGTAGTGTTGGCCGGGGCTCTGTGTCTTGGTGACCAGGGAGAATATCGATGAGAATGTCTTTACAGAAAGTGAAAGGGGCAGGAGGAAAGGGGAACTGTGTTCTCCGTGCATCTCACATGCAGTGCAGAAGGAGCGGCAAATATTCTGGGCCGCCTACTAAACAGCAGTTGGAAACAACAGCCTGTCTGTTTGGTCTGGCAAATGCAGTTGGTTTCTAATTCCACAAAGTTATCTGGAGGGTGTGAGACGTTTTCTATTAAACTTAACAGCATGATGTCTGTGGCAGATGAAATCAGAGTCGGAGTGGACTTTTGAGATTATCTACTGCAGTTTGTACTTTGGCCAAAGAATAAATTGCGAACACAATCGACCACTAATATCCGTAAATAGATGCCTCTCCAGCTTCTGCCTAAAAGGCTTTCCATACCCCTAATCATGATCCTGCATGGTTAGAGGAATCCAGGATTCTCCTTTCATTAGGAAAAATTTAGACCTAAGCACTGTCCGAAGTGCTCTTTCAAAAACATGAGAAATTGCTGTTAGTTTTAACAGCAAAGTTTTATAAAGGTTTGAAAAAGTTTTTAAAAAGCCTTATTCGAAAACAGGTAGAGGGAACCATGTTTACTCTGGTAATGGAGATGTCATAGCCCATTAGAGATCCTTCAGTCAAACCCATTTACTTGATACAGTAGGAAACACCGAGGACCCATAGCTATAGAGTGGCGCAGTCAAGATGGAATGATTTCTTGACTGTGTCTGTTGTTCTTTTCATGCCATCGTGCTTTCATCTTGTCATTTCCCCCTATTCCTTATAGGCAGAGATTTGCAAAGAAGCACATTAAACAGAGGCAAGTAGCACATTTATCTGGGGGACAGCTCAACTGATCTGCCAATGATTGGTACCTTCTTTTTAATGACTCATCTTTCCTCAAACAGGGTCATCTTTATTAATGTTCTGAGTTAGAAAAATCTTCCTCCTCTCTTTCTTACAACTTAGGACCATATTTAATTGCTTGGGTAGTTTATAAATAAATCCAAAATCGTTTTGTGAAAACCTCCTTCAAAATCCAAATTCATTTTCATTATACATGTAGCTTCTGAGGAGATTGTCTCTCACAAAAGGGGTGCTTCACACTTCTGTCCTGATAGTGTTCAGAGGTCGAGCACACCAGGGGTTTCTTCACAGGCTCTGATTTAGAGTCTCTCTATCAAAGTCGCTGGATCTATTGGATGCTAGTGTTTTTGTTGGTATTTGGGGAAGGACTGTTAAAGCCAAAACAGTTGTCTATTCATTTTAAGTTATTAAAAGCCAGAGGATAGGGCTTCCCTGGTGGCGCAGTGGTTGAGAGTCCGCATGCCGATGCAGGGAACACGGGTTCGTGCCCCGGTCCGGGAAGATCCCACATGCCGCGGAGCGGCTGGGCCCGTGAGCCATGGCCGCTGAGCCTGCGCGTCCGGAGCCTGTGCTCCGCAACGGGAGAGGCCACAACGGTGAGAGGCCCGCGTACCGCACAAAAAACAAAACAAAACAAAACAAAACAAAACAAAACATCTACATATGGGGCAGTTCTCGCCGAAAACAAACTGGAGAGTGGCAGGAGGGGTCATCTATGACCAGAACTGTAAAGAAAGATCCACATCGAGTCGAGTAGGAAGGGAAGAGAAGCGATCAGGTCGGGACCTGTGCCCCTAGGAGAGGGGACACAGAAGAGGAGGGAGACATCACAGGCTTGGAGATCCTCCCTGAGGAGTGAGCCGTTTGAGCCACATAGTGAACACCCCAGCCCTGGGGCCTGACACAGCCAAGGAAACCATCAGCAAAATGAAAAGGTAGCCTGCTAACTGGGAGAAAATATTTGCAAGTGATACACCTGATAAGGGGTTAATCCCCCAAATATATGAACAGCTCATATAACTCCATATAAAAAAAAAATTTTTTTAAGTTGACAGAAGACCTGTATAGACATTTTTTTCCAAAGAAGTCGTACAGATGGCCAACAGGCACAGGGAAAATGCCCAACATGGCTACCTATTTGAGAAATGCAAATCAAAACTACAATGAGATATCACCACACACCAGTCAGAGTGGCCATCATTAACACAGTCACGAACAAATGTTGGCAAGAATGGAGAAGAGGAAACCCTGGTATGCTGTTGGTGGGAATGTAAATGGATGCAGCCACTGTGGAGAACATTATGGAGGTTCTTCAAGAAACTAAGAATAGAATTACCATAGGATCCAGCAGTTCCACTCCTGGATATATATCCGAAGAAAATAAAAATACTAATTCAAAAAGATACCCTCACCCTAATGTTTTATGGCAGTATTCTTTACAGTAGCCAAGTCTGCTAACCAACCTAAATATCCATCAACAAATGAATGGATAAAGAATTTTCATTTTGAAAATATTTAAAAATGGACTGTGATGGTTGCACATATTGTGAATATATTAAAATCCATTGAATTGTACACTTTTATATCGTGAATTGTATGCTATTTGAACTATATCTCAATAAAACTGTTTTAAAAAATTTAAAAAAAATAAGGGACTAGGTAGTGTCAGTAAATATAATTTGTCCATGTCTTCATCAGATGCTGGCTTTTGCGAGTTAACCAAGGGTAGAACCTTTAGAAAGGGAGATTTTTGCAGGAGACTGGTAAAATTTTATAGATCTAAGACTTCTAGGTCAAAATATCTTGTGTTCAAACTCTGTCATAAGTGATTGATGCTCTTCAGCCTTAGGGCAAACAAAATTAGAGCAAGATGCAATGGTGTTTTATGGACCCTACACAAGAAGGGTTTCTGCCAATGACAAGGCATCCTTGGCAGAGAAAGGCTGAGCTTCCTGAGATTCCAAAGCCAAAAGGCGTCACCAGGAGGTCAGAGAGCATTGCCTGTGCCAGAGGATGCCAGACGGTACAAACTTTGTCTCGTTTCTTTGAACGTGTACTCATTGGTTTCTGTGGTGATCACGTAGAGCAAAAGTTATGTAGAAGCACAATTAGCGACACCTGTAAAAAGCTGGTTAGGAGGAAACGATGGTGGTGACACAGGTCAGCAAGGGGAAAGGTATTTCACATATCTGGCAATAAAAGATTTATCTATCTTACTACTTTTTTTCTTTTATCTTTTTTTCTATTTTCGTTTATATACGTAAGCACTATTGAAATGATTACTGCGTCATACATTCTTGTTATTTCCCAGGGAAGGCCTGATTCGAACTGTGACTATTAGGTTTATAACAAAGAATCAAATTTGGATATTCCACATTTTAAATGATTGATTGAGTTAAAAGAATTAAAGAATTGATTCTAAACTAAACTGCTTTTAACCTAAGAGTTTCTTTTAAAAAGTGAAGTCTGCCAAGGAAAGGCACTGAATCATTGTAGTATTTTGACATCTAATGGCAGTTTTATAAATTATATCAACATCTTGATTTTTGTTTGTTTGTTTCTTTGGCTCTACCAGTTCTTTAAAGTGGTGTGCATTGTTAATGGTCTTTTATGTTTTGCAGTGCTTTAAACTTTACCAAATTGTTCTCTCATTTTATCCTTTATAACCACCCTATGAATGCAGTATAGCAGACATTCTGCTTTTGACAAATTATAAAAGCGATATGGCGGGGAGGGAGGTTGAATCACTTACAGAAAAACACAGAATCATTGGAAAGTCCAGTTAGAATCGTAACCCAAGTCTTCTCTGTAGAGCTTTTTGCCAGTTTGATTAATTTTCTCCTTTTTTTCATTTGTTGAGTTCTTTTTTCTCAACCTTTAGCATACTTACTCTTTCACCTTCCCGATATAAACAGTTTTTTCTCCTTTTAAAGTTTTTCTGTGTTGGAAAAATAAAATAGAAAATAATTCAGGGAGGAAAGACTTGAGCGGGAAAGCCTATTGGTAATTTTTGCTAAATGATCAGAAAAGTGTAATTATTTTGAAAGTTGCAAAGCATTGTTATGCAAATAATGCATTCTTGAAGAATTTTTCTCATTGATTACACAAGCTTTTTCAAAAGAGCAATTTTGAGTTGCTTTTACTGATCTGGAAGGTAGAGGGTAGGAATACTTTTTTAAGTGGCATGGTTTTCATCTATTGTACTTTCCTTTAAAAAAAAATCTCTCTTTGCTTCTTAGTCTGAATATATTTATTACTCTCCTTTTACAAACAGAGAAATTAAGGCAGATAAGAGAGTCAAGTCATTTTTCCGAAGAGTCGCTCTTCACCATTGTTCTTAGTTTTGACAATCTGGGTCTCTGTTTCTGAAGTATGTCATACAGAACATTGCTTTTGTTTACCTCCCACCCATGTCCACTTAGTCTGCAGTACACGGACACTTCAGAAAGATAGACATGTAAAAATGCAAAAATTTTCAGGCATGTAAATTTGTTTCAATGTTCATATTAGGGTACCTTAGAGTATATTTAGTTAACTGACAGTATGAAATTTTACCTTTCTGGTAGACTGAAAATTAAAGGTTTGGGTACTGTATCATCAGAAAGGGATTTGAAATTAAAACTTAAAAAGGGATGTTTTTTGGATTCTCTCTATTATTGTGTGTCTATCATTTTGCTATTAGTTGTTTCAGGACACCTCTACTCCGCACCAGCTGAGGTCTGAAGGAGGTTTTCAGGGCAATGCCCTGTATTTACACAGCTTGACTTAGGGGAAGTGCAGTAGGCAAACTAAGGGAACAGTATTCCCCTGGTTTTAATGGATTCATGAACAAAATAGTCATTCCCATTAGAATCTTTCCAAATAGTCTCGTGCTTCAATCAGTAAGGATTCACCAAGAAACTTTCCGGCAGCTTTTTTTTTTTTTTTTTGGGGCATTATCTGTAACTGTTTTTTTAAATTAACCCCCCCCGCTTTATAGAGATATAATTTACAGACACAGCTTGACTTAGGGGAAGTGCAGTAGGCAAACTAAGGGAACAGTATTCCCCTGGTTTTAATGGATTCATGAACAAAATAGTCATTCCCATTAGAATCTTTCCAAATAGTCTCGTGCTTCAATCAGTAAGGATTCACCAAGAAACTTTCCGGCAGCTTTTTTTTTTTTTTTTTGGGTCATTATCTGTAACTGTTTCTTTAAATTAACCCCCCCAGCTTTATAGAGATATAATTCACAGACCATTAAAATTCACTCATTTAAAGCGTACTGTTCAGTGGTTATTGTATATTCAGATATGTGCAAGCATGACCATAGCCAATTCTAGAAATTTTTCATCACTTCACAAAGAAATCCCATACCCTTTAGCTATTACCTCTCTAAATCTTAGCTCCTTTCCTGATCCTGAGCAACAACTAACCTACTTTCAAATGTTGAAATCTAGTTCCCTGTTATGGAATTTCATCTGAATAACATCATACAATATGTGGAATTTTTGGTTGGCTTCAGTCACTAAGCATAATTTTTTTGAAGTTCATCCAAGTTGGGGCATGTATCAGTACTGCATTCCTTTTCATGGCTGAGTAATATTTCATTGTATGGATATACCACATTTTATTCGTCCATTCATCTGCTGGTGGACATTTGGGTTGTTTCCACCTTTTGGATATTATGAATAATGCTGTTATGAACATTCATATACAAGTTTTTTTGTATGGACATAGTATTTTCATTTCTCTTGGATGTTTACCTAGGAGTGGAATTGCTGGATCGTATGGTAATTGTGTTTAATTGTGTGTGGAACTGCCAGATTCCTCCAATGCTGCACCGTTTTATATTCCCATCAGCAGTGTGTGAAGGTTCCAATTTCCCCACATCCTCACAACTCTTGTTAATATCTGTTGTTTTGATTCTAACCATCTTGGTAGGTGCAAAGTGGTATTTTGTTGTGGTTTTTGTCTCCTTTAGATTATTTTTCATGTGTTTCCTCAGCATCCACGCATTGCTTCCCAGTATGTATGCAGCATGCATTCAAATGTTGTTTGGACTCAATTGAAGGTGTTACAAAAGCTGTTGGTTTTGTTGTTTTTCATGTTTTATTTCAGCAAGTGTCCAGCAGGTACCTGTGATGGATGTACGTTCTATTTCCTGTGGGAGAGTGCTGAAGCTTGCCCTCTGTGCACAGAGCATGACTTCCATGAGATTGAGGGTGCCTGTAAGAGGGGATTTCAGGTAAGAGGCAAACCTATCTAAGCAGAACTGTGTCATTGAAAATCTAATTGTTTAGTCCAGCATTGCTTACACCATAGAAACTGAGATTCAGTAGCAAGCTTATAGTTAACTAAATGAGATATTAATATGTATCTAAAATCAAGTTTGATACCTAGACTCCCATATGTTGAGGTAGCTGAAGATGTGTACTGGAATTGGGGAAACTGAATTATGGCAAGGGAGCTGTAGACTATGGATATTTACACAGAGTATAAGGAAATGATATAATTAAACCCAAATATGGTTTATATAATGCAGTTATAGGTATAATTAAGATGAGGATGATATAACTGACTCTCCACAAGAAGCATACATAAAGAGTGAATCTCATGTGCGCCCCTCCCACATATATGTAAATCAAGATCCTACTCTATGTTTTCTCTGAAGTCCTTCATTTGCTTACTTGTTTTTTAAAGTAAAGTTGGGATTCTCTTCTCTGTACTTTTTGTTTCCATTATGCCTTTAATACACTTCCCTTGTCATTAAATTTTTTTAAAAAAACATGACTTTTAGTTATTGACAAATGTGCTATTATATATGCAATTTGGGATTTAATAATTCCCCTTTTGGACATTTAAGAAAAAATTGAAAACCATCTTTTTGTAAATAACTCTGTAATGAACATCTTTGTTAGACATTTGATTGTTTCCTTAGAGTTTATTACTGGAAAGGGATTAACTGGATTCAAGGAGATGGGACATTTTTAAGGTTCTTGAACTAAATTGCTTTGGTTGCATCAATTTGCTTTTCTACTAATAGCGTTTGAGAGTACCCACTTCCTTGCACCAGCTTTGACTAGTGCCATATAAAAACCCAAGCTTTACCTCTTTGAAGATGACTTACCACTTCTCTCCCTCCAAATTCCATTGAAATGACATTGAAGAAGCACAGATGAGAGGATAAATCAGTACCAGTGGTGGGGACCGTACTGGAGAATGGGCATCAGAGGATCAGAGATTCCAATGGGATTTCTGAGATCTAGAAGGTAGATGGGATAGGACTGACCTTCGGGTCAGCATGGAGTGATGCGAGGGTGCTCACTGGGTAAGGGGATTGAAGAGGGGAGCTGTTCTTTCCAGGAAAGTCTTAAGGAACCGGTAGTTGGCAGGTTGGAGGGTTGAAGAGGGAGAAAAAATCTGAATGTCCCCACCCAAAGCCATACATTCAGCGTATTTGGAAGCAGTAGTGTCCACCTTTAAGAATAAAAAAAAAAAAAATTGAGAACTATTCTCTACATTGGTATTTTTCATACTTGAATGACAGTGAACCTGTAGTAAGAAAGGCATTGTACATGAAGCCTAGTACACAGACACAAACTCAGACACATAGAGATATGCCTAAAAATAAAATTGTCTTATGGAACAATAATTTTCATATTTTATGATAAAGTATAGGCATAACAATATAAAATGTTTTTATTAATACCTTAATACAGAACAGAGAAGTCTCCAAATAGACAAACTAATCAGAAAATTAGGAAATGTTTAATTTAGTTAAGTGTGCTTACCTGTAGATAGCTCATTCTGGCTCAGAGCACACAGATACAACACTGCTCACACATCGAGGGCATGGTTTAGCCAGTTTCTTTTCAACAGTTTTAAGTGGGTCAAGGATAAAAATTCCAGCCTCACAAAAAAAATGGTTTCCTTTTAATCCTCCTAATAATACTGATACATTTTTTTTATGCTTTACAGTGGAAATTAACCTTTATCTTTTCTCTAAAATTATGCCAAACTATCTTATAATCCTGTTTTTTAAGAGTAAATAAAAAATAAAAGGTGCATTCCCTTCTTTGGCCACCAGGTTTAACTCAGGAGTTTTGAAAAGCTAAATGACCTTCTATCCAAACGTTCTTTAATACTTCTCTTCTGGAAGGTAGTGATTAGAAGTTTAAGACAGTGGGGTGGCAACAATTTCTCTAGTTTTATCTCATTCAAACTGTCTTCATTGAAAAACCTCAGTTCAACATCCTATAAGAATGTTAGGAACAGATAGTTGCGAGGTGATGCTTTTTAAATGTCTGTTTTTGCCTTAAGAATAATACCTTTTGAAACACTTTGTTGTGTTTTACATGTTGAGGTATGTAATTCCCCCGATACCCCACCCATAGTTCCAAATCTACTTTGAGAAATACCAAAATCAGTTAAATATGCCCTTCTGTTAATACTTAGATGTCAGTTTTGAAAATATTTGCCAAATGAGATCGAGCTTCAACTAGTACAATATGAAATGTCCTTCCTTAGGGTATATTCCATTGCAAGAACGAACAAATGGGTTTGATGCAGTAAGTGGGTATGTTCACCTCCAATCTCTGAATAATATATTTCGAAAAGTCTGCTCTTTGGTGAGCTTTCAATACGAATGACAACATTGACTGCATTTTCCATTATGTCGGTGAACAAGGGTGGGTTTCTTTGGATGCCAAAGCCTCAAGATAGAAAAAAAAAATGATTGCAAAATATTGCAAAGAGTATCTTTTTATTGCTTTAATAATTCTGCATTTCCATCCTATTGCCTGCTTCATTGTTTACAGTTTTTCACTTTATATTGACTGAGAGTCTGCTTTTCCAATTCTGTAAAGACATATAATCCAGAAGCACGTGAAGTTAAATTTACACACTACAAGTTCTCCACATATAGCTGATATAAACTAAAAGAGCTACATGACTTGTGATAAAAGCTCTTATCAAAATGGATCTCAAAAATCTATACCAGGTTCTAAGTACGTACTAAGCATTACTTCTAAATGTTATACAGTAGTAGTGATTTGAAGAGATACTGTGTTATCACTGAGAGGTAAGTTTTAAAATTTATCAGCAAATTGATCTCACCCTGTTCACAAAATATCCCTACATGCTGGAAGAATAAATTTTTCAGCCGCAGTGTCAGCCATTTTCTTGTTTGCCAAAGACATGGCCTAATGAAAGGGATAAAGCTTCCTAATGAATAGAACGACTAAGAAATTCACAGAATCGCTAAGTTATAGAATGACTAAGAAATTCTGCCAACAGCTTGATTTATTTTTTCTTTAACAATTTGAGGAGCTTATGGAAAAGGTAACAATTCTGGGTTTCTAAGTATGTATCTTTTTAATTATGAAGTTTTAATGGTTTGTTTAGAAGACTGTCCTTGGGCATTACAGCTTGCCATTTGCATTGGGTGTGGCATATGTGATACAACCATATAAACTCTTTCACAGTCTATTTTTCTTGTTGGAATGCCCTTCAGATGAAGAGGCAGCAGTTCAACTTGCTCATGCCTCCTCATTCCTCATCTTTCTTATAAAAATCATGTGAGCCATTTTAAAAATCATTTATTCACACTAAGTTTCATGAAAATGTTACACTACAATTTTTTTCAATTACTAATGTCCTTTCTAAAAAGTTCTTATCCAAAACTTGGTTGAAATTTTTCCTCAGAGTAAATGGGAATCTCCTGCACATCGTTCACTTCAGGACCAACTGTAAAAGTGTGTGCATGTGTGTGACATTAAACATTATGGTGTTAGGCTTCTGTTAGGGTGTTGATAAATGACTGTCATTCACCAGAAAATGTAGGGAGGCACAATGAGCAAAAAATGTAATGCCTCGTGTCATTTAATGTCACTGGATATAATAATCATCATGCAGATTGCTACCTGTCATTGTGTATGTTGAAATACGTAAGGAACCATGCACTATACTCTGATTTTTGTTTCTAATCTGTCTTATTTGTTTATTTTTTTAAAAATTGCTGGTTGAGACCCAGTGTATTGATTTTACTATTTACTAGTTGACTGCAGGGAGCAGTTTGAAAACACTGCCCTAACAAAATTGAGTCATCTGCTTTGGGAGGACGAGAGTAAGTCCCTCATGTGGGTAGTGATGACCCAGAATAACACCCTCCTTATTTTGGCCAGGGGAAGGGGGGCGTGCAGTCTGTGCGCCTGCCCCACACCAAAGCCTGCCGGTCATGCTGCACTTACATGTCTTGGGTCCGGGGTCTGCTCTTCCACTCAATGGAGAGGCTCTTTGGGGAAATGGACCTACGTGATGAGTGGGTGAAACCCGTCCAGTCAGTTATATGAAACAATCTAAGCTTTCATTTTAAAAACGTGATCTAAGAAGTCAGGACTCATCAGAAATTTGAAGAAAATAGCTCAAATGATATATCCAGATGGAGTCATTTTTATTCAACCTCCTCAGCATAAAGCAAGCCTTCTGATCTGACAATTCATGGTCTTGTTACATTTTCATTCATCATTTCCTTATTCTCTCTCTTCTATATCCCTTTCTCTTTTTGGAGCTTCAGTTAGATGAAAGCCGAATAATCCTCTCTGCCTACTGTGAATAACGGTTAGCAAAACGCTTCTCCTTCTAAATCTCATTTCTTATGTCATTTTTTAAAAGGAAACCTTGTATGTGTGGAATGAACCTAAGTGGTGCATTAAAGGAATTTCTTTGCCTGAGAAAAAGTTGTCAACCTGCGAAACAGTTGACTTTTGGCTAAAAGTGGGAGCAGGTGTGGGAGCTTTTACAGCTGTTTTGCTGGTGGCTCTAACTTGCTACTTCTGGAAAAAGAATCAGAAGTAAGTAACCTCTGTATAAGAACTGAGAAATCTCTTTTGTTGCGAATATTTTAGAGTTAATCATTATATCCAACAGTTTCTCTCAGAGACACAAGAAATTTCCCGTAGTGAAGGAGTTATAGGAAAGGCCTTTAAGAAAGCAAATGGAAATGACTGTTGTTCTGATAACAGAGAGATCAGAGAACATTAGAGGTAATTGAGTTAGATCCGTTGTTTTTATAAAACAAGGAACAGAGGATCCTGGCTGCTCAGGTAGATGGGAGCACAGCTCAGAAAGGAAGGCAGATTTTCTCTGTGTGTCTGTTTTTCTTTTCATGACATCATGCTGCCTTCTTGCCCCATCTTTTCTCTTTCAATTTCTTGTGGGCAGATATTTGCAAAGAAACAGACTAAGTGTATACTCCATGACTTTCAGAATCTGAAGTTGAGTATTGAGTGTAACTTCCAATTGTATTTTGATACATTATATGATTTGGCTCTTTTAAAATGATTTACATGTCAGTTGGGCTGTGAAAGTTCTCTACTGTATTATCTAGGCACAGTGTAATATCTGGGGTGGGGAGTAGAAAGGAATGAGTGATAGAGAGAAATAGTAAAGACCAAGTCACTTGCCTATATAATATTCTCATCCTACGAACTAAACTTTGGAAAACTGCATAGTAAATTAGTTCCCAAATATTTATAAATGAAAAAAATGCGTTCAGACCTCTCATTTTCTCTTTGTTTTTCAAAAGCTTTTCATAATTGGACACTTGAATCACTGTAAAATAAGTATGATAGTGTTAACTGTATTGCACTGATTCTCTGAAATTCTGGAAACGATTGGTGTGTAGACGGTAGATTAATGAGAACACATAGTGTTATGGCTATGGGTAAAGGGAATATGTTGGGGGAGCAGCTGTACTCCACGACAATTTAATTAGCTGGTGTATGACCACCCCAAATAAGTATTAATTTATATTAAACAGCCACTTTATCTATTTATTTATTTGCCGCTACTTAGACTGGAGTACAAATATTCCAAATTAGTAATGACGACAAACTCAAAAGAGTGTGAACTCCCAGCTGCAGACAGCTGTGCTATCATGGAAGGAGAAGAAAATGAAGAGGAAGTTGTATATTCCAATAAACAGTCGCTACTGGGAAAACTCAAATCCTTGGCAACAAAGGTGAGAGCAGAATTTTAACCTGGTATTTCTGTGTATTTATAAATAAAGGGGCCATATTAACCTAACAGTAGCAGTCATGCAAACCGTGTCATTCAGGGTGGGTATTTATCCAGTAGAAATACTCTTAGAAGTACAGAAGGCTGTAAATACAAGAATAATCACTGCAGCATTGTTTTTGTTGGCTAACCAGGTAGAAACAACCTTGAACACCATCAGTAAGGACTTAGATAAGAAATTTCCATATATCAAAGTAGTGGGATGCTGTGCACCTCTGCAGATGTTAAAGATTGAGATGTCTATGTGTACTGATATGTCAGTGGGTCCAGGGTAAATGAAGCGAAGACAACACATAGACTATTGCATTTCTATTAAATATACATTTATATTAGTATTTGAAGAGGAAACTACTAATGATAGCTGCTTTTTGAGAATTTTGAATAAATGGGTGTCTTTAGTCTTTGAAGCAATGCAATTTTATAATATTTGAATTTGCACAAAAATAATGTATTATAGTATTAAAAAACAAAAATTTTAGGTAAATAAAAGATCTCATTTATTTATATTTTTTTATTTTATAACAAGATGTTTTCATACAGAGGAGATAAAAGTTATATAAAATGTTGAGATGTTACTTACCGGATGCCATCACATTTGTCGGCTTTGAAATGATTACTGTATCCAAACAGATAGCATGAAGCCCTAAGTATTATTTGTAAACACATTTAATTGACATTCTTCACCATTGACTTAAAAGATGAAACATTACCAGTTTACCTACGCAGGAATAAAGACAGAATGAAACCAGAAAGAAAACCCATTTCAAAGGATTTTCAGCAGGCAGGACATGTGGTGAAAGATTGCATTTATTGAGAGTGTCTTAGTAATCGTTTCCTAATTAAGGCACATAACAATATCATAGGGGATCATTTAAAAATAAAACAAGCCCTATTCCCCTTATACTAATGGTTCTTTGATTTTTCTTAATATGGTAGTTTAGGGAGGATACTATTGCTGTGGGACAGTGAATGTACAGAGATTGTCAAGAGCTGAGATTTTACCCTACTTGCAAGCTAACAACTGAGCCTTCCATGGTTTCATGGATACTTTAGAAGACGTGGGACTTCTGATCAGAGACAAAGGACAGTTTAGCACTCACAGCAGAAGCACTAGCCAAAATGTCAGCATTTATATGAGTCGCAGAGCCCCAGGTCCTGCAGATGACACTTGTACACACAGTGGTCTGCCTTACAGGAAAGGAACCTTAAGCTTTGGGAACCTGAATCTTTTAGAAAGGGCAGCAAGCATCTCTGTCCTTTGTTCCAAAGGGAGATAGTGTTGTTATTGTACTGGACAGGTAGCATGCATGTTCATTGCTCAAGAGGGAAATACTCTTTCTAAGACTGTAAGCAAGCCCGCCCTTTGCTATGGAAGGGCACAATATCTTTATTTTCAAAGGCTGCTTTCTATACAAGGGTTGAAATGCAAGGGTTAGGGTTAGGGTTAGGTCCTTTTGTTTTTTGTTTTTTGTTTGTTTGTTTGTTTGTTTGTTTTAGCGGTACGCGGGCCTCTCACTGTTGTGGCCTCTCCTGTTGCGGAACACAGGCTCCAGACGCGCAGGCTCAGCGGCCATGGCTCATGGGGCCAGCCGCTCCGCGGCATGTGGGATGTTCCCGGACCGGGGCACGAACCCGCGTCCCCTGCATCGGCAGGCGGACTCTCAACCACTGCGCCACCAGGGAAGCCCTGGGTTAGGTCCTTTGAAAAGGTAGTCTGGAAAAAAGGGAAGTCAGTGTCTCACTCATAAGATAGGCAGAAATGCAAGAGAACCATTGGGGAGTTGTCTCCCAACAGATCCAAACCTCCTTCCTACACTATCTTGGCTTCCGGCAACTTTCCCATTAGTACACCATTACACTGTTCACTCTGATTAATCTGACTGGCTGAGGCTGGAATCAAATCTGGTCAGTTTGCTTCATATAGCACTTAAAACATAGAGCTACTCCCAACAAGACACCAAACAGCAAGATGAGGCCAACCTGTATTATTAACCTGGATCATACCAGGGTTCCAGGCTCAACTAACCAAACAAATGCCGTAAGTCATCAGGGTCCACCTTAGAAAGAGGTGGCTTTCTTTTTAGGTCCCTGTATTAACCTTTCCACTTAGCCTGAGACCTTTCCACTGGTACTGAGATCTTTCCTCCATAAGATTCAGATGGAAGAGGGTTAAGGACATTTTCAAAAATTTACAGAGACCCTATACATCTCCCACTTTTGTCTACCTGGGCCATGGTAGGGGAACTTGGTGAGCAGTGTCCTCCACCAGGTGGTCATTATCCTTTTGGTCTAGGAAGATGACAATCCAACAAGACAGTCCAGGCACAAAGAATTTTAGTGACTGTACAGATCGTGTCTTGGCCCTCAGGGAGGAAGTATAAGGCAGTTATATCGTCCATAACAGTGTATGGACAGTGGGTTGATGTTGACCTGAATGCCTTCAAAGGCTGAAGTGGTGTCATGGATTAGTTCAGTTAGAGTCAGAAACAAATTTTGTACTGCCTTTTCTTTCTTTTAAAAAAAATTTATTGAAGTATAGTTGATTTACAATGTTGTGTTAATTTCTGTGTACAGCAAAGTGATTCAGTTATACATATATGTATTCTTTTTTATATTCTTTTCCATTGTGGTTTATCACAGAATATTGAATATAGTTCCCTGTGCTATACAGTAGGACCTTGTTGTTTATTCATCCTATATATCAGTGTAATAGTTTGCATCTCCTAATCTCAAATTCCCAATCTTTCCCTCCCCCACTCCCCCTCCCCCTTGGTAACCACAAGTCTGTTCTCTCTGTCTGTGAGTCTGTTTCTGTTTCGTAGATAAGTTCATTTGTGTCATATTTTAAATTCCATATAAGTGATATCATATGGTATTTGTCTTTTTCATTATGACTGACTTCATTTATTAATGTAATCTTTATTTCCATCCATGTTGCTACAAATGGCATTATTTCATTCTTTTTTACGTTCCATCTTTGCTAATTGAATAACTACCCATGGGGTGAGTGTGAATAACAAGTCAGTTATCCCTCCAGGAACCTCTTCTGAGTAACCAAGGGTAGCCTGATACTGAAAAGAGCCTTGCAGTTGTCTAAGGGCTAAATGATCTATCGAGGATGTTTTCATACACAGTTGAATTATGACCACTGATGACCACTCCTAGAATACAAGTACAAGCCGTGCTGTTTTTAGGAGAGAAGTTAACATCTGGTTCTATTCAAAAAGTATAGTCCTAGAGGTACACATGGTGCCTCTGGAAAGAAAGTATTATTTACAGTTGTTAGGGACACCAAGTGGGACCTATTTAGTTAGGCAGCACTGGTTGATGGTGCCTGCGACCTCCTTGCTGGCTTGTAAACCTTAGCGTTCCCGATTCATGTCAAACAACTGTGTCTCTTCTTTGTCTTTGGAGAGACTGCTTGAGGGCAGTTTGTCCAGCTTTTCCTGTTTGTCCATGCCGCAGACTGCGTGGTATTGTCCCCTCCATGGAATGATTGAGTGATGGCAATGGGAATGGACATGTTGATCGTTGTTACTTTGGGCAGAAGCTGGCATCATCCCTGCTGTTTCTGAGAGAATTTTCAGTAAGTCTAAGGGGAATGGCAACCAGATTGTGGTTTGAGCATCTGGTGGATTTGGTAGACCCAGTAGTCAGTTACATTTAAGGCACTTGCAACAGTTTGAGAGAGGAACGCTAAGGTGTTTTCCTTCATAGGAAGGTGACAGGGTGGCTTTGAAAAACAAATAATCATTAGTATCCCTTCATCCTTTGCACCTCTCAGGGCCTAAGGTACCTTCTTCCTAGGTGCCTTATTATCAGACTGCACTGTTGATCTTCCACAGGTACAAATCAGTTTGTCCCATTTCCGTAGCTAAAGCTCCACCTTATTTCTGCTCATACCCTACTGGAGTTCTGTGCTGCCAAACATTCAGGTGCAAGAAGGTCAAGGGCTTTTAAAAATGCGTGTGGCGACCTAGTGTGTTTTCTACCTTTGCCCATGTGGGATGGTACGAGGTCTTGATGAGCTGTGTAGTCAACCAAGTAGTTATTATGCTTTTGATCTAGGATCATGACAGTCCAACAAAACAATACAGGTGGCTAAACGAGAATTATATTTGAATCTTCTAGGCTGCCTTCTGGCAGGGCTACCACCAGACGTCCTGGGGGTTGCTGTTGGGTTAAATAAGGACCCGTCATGCCAGTAGTGGTCGGGGCAGAATCCTGGGTTTTCGTATGGGTATATAATCTTATGTAGGTTGTATTGATATATTCTTACTTACTATATATTTTTACTAAAAATTATCCATGAAGCAGCCAAGAGGAGATAATCTCTTAATCCCTTTCTGGAAATAGCCATATTTAGAAACTGAGCTGCCTTACTAAGATGTGTGGACCAGGGGGAGCTGAGGGAGATAGAGGCAGAAATCTTTTTGAGTCAGTTTTTGAGAAGGCTGTTCTGATGATCAATGATCCCTTTCAATGGTAGGAAGTGTGGAAGGTCCACTGGGTACCTCTACTCCCAGTCCATTTTTCTGGGAGCTTTTGTGATTTAAAAAAAAAAAGGGACACCACTGTTAGGCTGCAAAAGGTCCATAAAACCATAAACGTTAAACAGATGTTTTGCAAGGGCCACGGTGGTGTGACTGGAGTTGGCCAGTCACTCTGTAACAGCAACACCATGACCCGAATGGGTGTCAACAGTGATGAGGAACCACCGATAGCCCCAAGAGGTGATCAAAGGTCTGATTTAATCAGTTGTCAGGGAAATATTGGTCAGCTCTTGGTATGACTCCCAAGTCTTGCATGCTGTGGTAACCTCTGCGTCAGGAAAATAGAGTCCTTCACTTTGTGCTCGGTCTGTGAAGGCAGATTTATTGCCATGCTGGACAGGATTCAAATGCTGTGTAGGGTTTGTGGCAATCTGTCTGGTGCAGTCTCTAT